TCTCTCAGGGGTTGTGGTCCTGCGCTGCTCTTTGTCCATCATCATGATGGACATCATGACGGACTAAGACATCATCATGTCCATCATGAAATGCAAACCATCATTTCATATACTGCATCCATTAGTTTTCAATTGTGTTAGCTGAAAGGGCACATTGCCTTTCAGTATTCCCATCGAGGTTGACAGTGGAAGTCTCTTGGGCTGGATATTTGTGTCCTGTTTGCACTGGGTTGGGGGTGCCTCTACAATAGCTTCCTCAAGCCACATCAATTCAATATTCCAGCGAAGAAACCACGTGGCATGTATCACAGATAAAGGCAGGTGAGGCACTTTTAGTTGCTGGCTTGTGGTGTGAGCTCTCGACGAAACATTGCGTCACTGATCTCAAGGTTTATAGACAATAAGATATTTTGAAGGGAATTATACATATCCTATCCCCTCTCCCTCAATACAACTAGGACTTTGGTTCCACTTGCCAAATACCCACCTGTGGAACCTGCCATTGCTTCCTTTTTTTGGCTATATTCCGAGAACACACTCTGGAGCCAGCAGGGTGTGCAGGGGGTGGGGTGCACCGAAGGCCACCATCGTCCCCTGAGAAGTGGCCAATGCCCCGCCTCCTGCTGAGGTCACACAGCATTTCTGTCCCAATCAGTGTCCCTGGCCGTGGAGATAACCTAATCCCAGTGCGTGAGCTCTGCTGAGACTCTACAAAACCAGAAAAGGAATTTTATCTTAATCCAGGCTTAACTTCAAAGCCAGTCTTTAAAAATTATTTTGATTGTATGTTTTAAAGTTACTTTACCTTGAAGAGAAACACATACCGTCCCCTGAAATACAGTTGTCCGACTTAGAAGCCTTGCTTCATTGGACGCAAGAAGAGATCTTTAATGTGAGTTAGTAGTATGTACACATCTGCCTGGTCTTAGGCTAGGTGTCCAATTTTCTCTCCACCATTTTTTCCAGGGGTCCACAGATAAATTAGTGACCAGGTGAATGATTCGCCCAGTTGTGGTCAATCTATACACTGGACTACTGTGCAGAAATGGAAAGGAGCAAAGTGTTGACAAATGAAACACCCATGAATCTCGAATAACAATGCTGAGTGAAAGAAGGCAGACAAAGGGGAGTACATGCTGGACGGCTCCATTTGTAGGAAATTCTAGGGATGCCGTCCAGTCTCCCGACAGAAGGCAGGAAAGCGGCTACCGGTGGTTGGGGGCGAGGCAGGCAGGGGCAGGAGGAAACTTCTGGCTTGACATGCACACACGCTCACACACAGACACACTTATGGTGATGGTTTCACAGGTGTAAACATGTCAGCACTTACGAAGTTGCTACTTTAAACACATGCGGTTTATTGTATGTTGATTGTACCTAAACGACTCCCAAAAAGAGTGGGTACTCTTACAGTGTGTCCTTGCTACCTGAACTAATCTCCTTTGCTCACTTCAGACTTTCCTGGGGCGCAGCTGAGGTTCTGCTCTCAGGGACCCCTAAGAGCAGTGATAAACTTCAGGGCTGTGGCTCTCGGGGACACTGTCTGCTCCTCCGTGGAGGAGAAGCCCAACCCAGGGCACTCCCAGGCTCCAGTCCAGCTGAGTGGGACCAGGCGATATGAGGAGTGTGGTAAACGGGGGCTGTGGACGCTCCTTGGCACTTTCACCCTCCCCAACACCGCTCTCCACATGGGGTTCCCTTCTCAAGTCAGATTTCAGGGACATCGACTGAGCTGCATTTACTAGAGGAGTGGGAGTGGAGTTCCTTTCGTAACCAAACAAACTGGATCTTGGGTCTCAGCCTCTCATTTTCCCTTCTGTGCAGTTGAGTGTGTAGAGCCAGGACTCCTTTCCCGCCTCTGCCTCCAGTGTGAGCGAGTGAATCGCTCCTTAAAAAATACCCCCTGTAGAAAACGGGCTCACTCGCCCTGTCACCCCCGTCCTCCTTCACCTGCTTATTATTCCCATCACCGTCTTACATGTTACATATTTACATGTTCGATTCTCTCCACTCCTCTCTCTCCCACAACCCAAACCGGAGCATATGAAGCATGAGGAAAGGCTCTCTGGCTATTTTTATTCATTGCTATATTCCTAATGTGTGGAAGGAGTAGGCAGTCAGGAAATGTCAGGTGAATAAATGAAGTATTCCCTTTTGCTAAGGCCGTAGCACTCAGTGTCCCTGATGCCTTTCATTCCTAATTTCTTCCTCTCCTTGGGAACTGTAGATGCACTTTTCTTAAATTCAGACTTGATCTTTAAGGCAGAATAAAATAAAGGGGCTGTTGCCCTTGGGGTTTGGGACCAACACAGGGCCAGTCTGACAGTGGCCACACCCACTGCTCTCAGCCCAGGTGCTCAGAGACCCCCCCCCATGGGAACACTTCATTGTCTGCTAGCTCCTCCTTATTGGGCTTCTCTAATTTCCAATTCTATAGCATCTCTACCACGTGGCAAATTATTTTAAAGAATGAGAACACATTGTTCCATGATTTTTTAAATTTAGAAACAATCTCAAAACTTACAGAATAGCTGGAAGTGAAGTTAAACAGAGAGCATTTCGTGTTCGGAATCCTCTGAGAGCAGGTTGTGTACAAAGACACCCCGTGGCCCCCCCAACCCTGAAATGTGTGTCTCTAACACACAGGGACATTCTTCCACAACCACAACCGCAGCCATCACCACCAGGAACTTAGCAGGGAAACCACAGGGCCATGCAGTCCTCTCTCCCCTTTCAAATCTCACTAACTGTTCCAACAACGTCCTTTGTCACCATGGATCCGACTCGGAGTTGTGCTGCTTTTTGTGGCCATATCTCTCCGGTCTCCTTTAATCTGGGATAGTTTTTCAGTTTTCCTTTCATGGTCAATTGAAGAGAAAAGGCCAGCTATTTTGTAGACTGTCCCTGGCTTTCCATTTGTCCGCTGTTTCCTCGAGTGAGAGTCAGGCCACGTATCTTTGGCAGAGAGTTCACAGGAGTGATGCTGTGTTTCTCATGGAAGCCCATTGAGTAGCACACAAACCTGGTTTTCTACATTACTGATTTCCCTTTGTTTTTTCACTCCCATCCCAGCCCACACCCCCAGTCCTCCCACCTCCCTCCTGTTTCCACCGCCCCCACCCCTTGTTTTTGTCCATGTGTCCTTTATCTTTGTTCCTGCAGACCCTTCCCCTTTTCCCCTGAAATCCCCTCCCCTTTCCTCTCTGATCACTGTCAGCCTGTTCTCAATTTCAATGTCTTTGGTTATATTTTGCTTGTTTGTTTGTTTTGTTGATTAGGTTCCTGTTAAAGGTGAGATCATATGGTATTTGTCTTTCACCGCCTGGCTTATCTCACTCAGCATAATGCTCTCCAGTTCCATCCATGCTGTTGCAAAGGGTAGGAGCTCCTTCTTTCTTTCTGCTGCATAGAACTGCATTGTGTAAATGTACCTGATTTCCTGGCTCTTTCCTGCGGGTCTATGATGGGCCAATGATGAGGCAACACAAGATGTTATAGTACATGTTGGGGGACAGATGTTGTAGGGGGCATTATGATTGCTAATCAGCTCACTTTAGGGTGAGATTATCCTGGAGGATCCTGGTGGCCCACTGTAAACACAAGGGTCCTTATAAGTGAAAAGGGAGGGAAAAGAGATGGTGACAGGGTGATGTGACATGAAAGACTCAACTGGCCGTCGCTGGCCTTGACAATGGGCAAGGAGAGGCATGTGCCGAGGGACAGGGCAGCCTCTAGAAAATGGAAAAGGCAAGAAGACAGGTGCCCCCCTCGGGCCTCCAGCAAAGAATGCAGCTGCACTGACAACTCCTTGATTTCAGCCCAGTGAGACCTGCCTCAGACTTCTGACCCCCAGAGCTGCAAGATAATCAATTTGCGTCGTTCGAAGTGGCCACGTTTAGGAGACTTGGTAATGGCAATCATAGGAAGCCAGCTCACACACCTGGAAGCGTGGAGTGGGTACGTGTTCAGTCTGAAGTTCTGCAGACTCTCCCCCGGGGTCTGTGAGGACCACCTTGTACTTGGTCACTGCTTTGATTTGGCTGCCCAAGCCCTGAGCCTGGCGGGCTGAGCTGATAACTGAAACCTTTTGCTGAACACACAGGGTTGGCTGGAATCCACGGAGAACCCACATGGGGCCAAATTCCTCCTGAATGGAGTAAGGAGGCCTGTTTAAGTGCAGAGGTGCAGGATCTTGGCTGGATTATCCCAGTGAATTCTCGGGAATCCTGGCAAGCTCCCTGGTTTATGGCGTTCTCTCAGGGTTGACGTAAAGCGTGAGCCTCTGAATGGACACCCTGTTGGACAGCCAGTTTAGGTGAACTGGGGAAGACCTGATAACCTCTTGGTCAGGCTTACTTCCTTTGTTCCCCTGGTGTCCTTTTAGGTGAGTGGAGATGGGCCAGGAAGCCTGGGCTTATAAAGGTAGAACACCACCAGCGAGACCTGCAGACTCAGAGTGGCCCCTGATGGTTTGGTCAGATCGCTTTTCGTACAGAGGAAGGGACTTGTCCAGGGTCAGACTAGCAGATTAGCTCGGACCATTCCCCTTTGTGTGGCGCGGTAAAGAGAAAAGTGATCTATTATTAAGTTTTTGAAATGGGAGTCCTGGCCTGCCCTGGAAGAGGATGTGGCGGGGGAAGGAGTCTCGGCATTGGGAGTAATGTTAGGAAAAGTTCAGAAGGCGGAGGAAGAAGGCCGGAAAGGGGGCAGCACTGAGCAGGGGAGGGTGGGGAGCGTGGGGAGCGTGGGGAGCGCAGGGCCTCTGCCCCACCTCTGCGCTCCACCTCCTCCGCCGGCCCTTGGGCCTGGCAAGAGGCTGGCCTGGGGCCTCCCTCCGGGAGTCCCGCCCAGGGTGGCTCCGGCGGGGCTCCCCTATTTGGCCAGCTCACCCCGGCCCTGGGCGGGGCGGAGGAGCGCGGGGGTGGGAGTGGCGGAGGAAGAAGATGCGCAGAGCCGGCAGCGAGGCCGGGCGCCGGGGGAAGAGGGGTGGGGATCTGGGGTGGGCTGCACCCTCCCCGCCCTGACCAGTTCCACACCCCTTACCAAACGGAGGCTGTCAGCTGAAATCACTCCCCTTTCAGGAGGTGGGAGGGGAAATCAAGGTAACTAGCCCCTCTCTGCTTAAAAAAGCGAAGGGAGCTCTGGGCAGCTTTGCCGCCGCTCCGCCCCACTCCTGGACCATGCACCCCAGCGTCTCCCCGTTCGGCCACAGGCGCGGACTCAGTTTCTTAAGTTGAGAGCTAAAACTTGGTGACTTTTCTTCTCCCCAACAACTGAAACATGCCATGTGTCCAGGGGAGGTGGCTTGCAAACCTCTCGGTGGTGGCTCAGCTCCTGGCCCTCGGGGGCCTGAGCTACGGCAGACTCCCGCAGCCCGGCCAGGTGCGCTTCCCGGACAGGAGGCAAGGTGGGTGGCTTTTCTTTATCTCCTCTGCAAACCGTGGTGGCAAAACCCGTGCAAAATTGGTGGCGCCCCTTTCCCCTCCCCCACTGCGCTGAACTCTGCGGAGCCTTTTGGGTGAGTTGTGAGGAAGTCGGAGCTGGGACCTCAGTAACAGTCCTCAGAATCCGTTGTTTCAGGTGAGGTCATTCTTAACGAAAGGTGGTTGTCCCATCTCGATTCCTTGATGCTGCCGTAGGCAGGCTTCCAGAGGTTGCTGGTGACCACCCCCGGCCCCCCTCCCTTTTTGTGTCCTTTGAAGCTTCGCTGTCTCATCCCCTCATTCTCGGATTCTGAGCACGCAGCGTGATTTTTTTTTATAAAAGTTGCAACTGGCTACGGCAGACCTTGGAGCGTTTCTAGTTCATTTTAAACCTCTGGTCAGGGAAGGGGAAGTCTGATTCCGCCCTCCTGCTGGGTGAGCTTGGCTGTGCTTTGCTTTCCTGGAAAGATTTAGGGCTGTGTTTTAAAAACAACAGTGCTTTGGGGGAAAATTTACCACCGTAGGGGTTCTGGTTCCTCTGTTCTGCCTCCCTGATCCCAGCCAGCTGTGTCTCGTTCTGAATTCTGTGAAGCCGGTAATGCCGTAGAAAGCAGTGAAGCGCTTGTGGTACACAGCTTGTTGTGCTTGTTAATCGTTGTTAAGCCCAACATCCTGGAAGGCTGGTACTGTTGCCTGTGCCGTTTTATTGGACTCGGAAGGGTCAGAGACACTTGGCTGTTTGATGGGCGGTTCATTGCGACTCCGGCAGAGAACTCACCGCACTAGAAGTGTCTGCTAGGGCACTCTGTGTGTCAGCCCACTGGCCACTGGCAACAGCCTCCGGGGTGTGGGGACCCTGGTGGCTGCCCCTGTTCTACAGATGAGGCAGCCAAAATGGGGAGAGTGTATGGACCTAGCCAGTGGTGGAGGGAGGTTTTGAACCCAGGGAGCTTGACTCCAGAGCCTGGCTCCATACAGTTAAGCGGCCTTGCCCAATAGCAGTAGTGGGGACAACACACACACACACACACACACACAGAGCGCTGGGTTAGTGTCCACCAAGTCCTGTGTCTGCTGACTGTGCTCAAGCCTGGGGAAGCTGCCACAGCTTCCTGACCCACTTTGATCCCCAAGACCACTTGGGTGGCGGGCGTCACAGATGCTCTGGTGAGCCCGCCCGCCCTTAGCATCTGCACACAGGGGTTTGTGCCTGCACTGCAGAGTTCAGACCTGCTGGAGAGCTTGTCTGCTGAGACTTCCAGGCCCCTCAGGTGCCAGACCCTGGGCTTGGCTTGGAAGCTGGAGCCGGCAGCACTGGGGTTGGATGTCAGTCAGCCAACTCTCGCCTGTGTAAACGGTCCAGATACCATCGCCTACCCCCAAGTCTAAAATAGCAGCGTTTGTTGTTCTTTGAAAAACAGCCCCTTTGTGAAAAGTCTCTTCTGTGGCAGCACAAACAAAGCCCGCAAGCACTTCCCAGGGCGTTTGGAGACGGCTTGGTTCAGAGACACACATTCCCCTGGGTTGGCTTTCAGCTCTGCCTGCTTCGCATCTTCTCATCTTTGTAAGAGAATTCGGGGTGGTGTGGAGCAGACAGCCCCGGGGCCTCTGTCTTCCCTGGAGAGGGGGAGATGGTTGTTTCCCATGGTCACCTGTAGGGGCTCGGTACTGAGAGTGTTTGACATTGAAGAGCCGTAAAGTGCTCTGAGCCGAGCTTATTGGCATTGCGTAGGTATTGAAGGTTTTAAAAATAGTTTCAGATTTAAAAAGCATTTTCACCAAAATATGTGTCCTTAGTCCAGGACTGAGTTGAGACAGCAAACTAGTCAGAGAAGAACATTTTGAGGCTCTCTGGGAATAGGATGACCTGGGTTCTGCTTCCAGATGACCTGCCTGCTGCTCACCATTGGCCCATTTCCCCAGACTGCCGCTGGGACTCTGCCAGCAGTTTTGAACTGCCCCCAGATTCTGAACATTTAAACTCGCAAATTACTTTAGATAGCACTCCTCCCATCATCTTATTTTTACAGATGAGGAATGGGTGGCCCAGGGGGTCAGTCGGTTGGTCAACGTGTCTTTAGCGAGCACCTAGCCATTGCCACTTCACCGGAGGGGGGAAGAGTCCCGCAGCTGGACACGCATTCAGAACCTCGGAACACTTAAGTTCCTCCTAGGTGTCAGGGTTGGGCCGAGTCAGGACTGTAGACTGAGGAAAGAGTGTGAGAGAGAAATCCTGTCCTTCCTGGGACTAGAAACAGGCAGATTTGGCGACCACACCCTGCTCAGTGTACTTTCCACGTTGCTCAGTGGTGCAGCGCCCTCCACAGGGTTCCCCACCGCGGATGAGAACATGGGAAATACTCATCTTGCTCACAGTGCGCTGCCTCTGTCTGGCAGCCAACGCTGTCCCCACAGGTGTGTTGTTCCCTGGACGGTTTCCGTGTCAGCGGTCGCTTCTGTGACCTTTTTTGCTCCGAAAGCTCCATGAAGCCAATGGGACGGGCGCTTGACCCCATGTTCGGGATGTGCCCTGGGTGCCCCGACCCGTGCAAGGATGCTGGGCGTGTTGCCGTGTGTTTCCACACAAACGTTAGCATCATGCACTTGTGCCGTTTGCAAAAAGCTGTAAGTTCTGCAGGGAGAAAATGATTTTGGATGTGTTCGTAATGGAGGAGGAGACTCCACAGTTTGGATATTTTATGTGTGTTGATAGTAACAAGCTATTATGCTCTGCAGTTGAGGCATCATGGGGACAAATCCAACCTCCTGCGCCTTAGCTGTGAGGGGACCAACACGATTCTCCACTGCATTGACACACGTGTGGTTTTCTATAATAAAAATACAGTCGAAAGTTTACAACAGTCTGTGGAAGAGAATTATGAAAATAAACTTCTATTAGAGAAATTTCATTGCGCTTTTCAGTAAGGAGTCTTAGAAAGTCAGTTGCTCTGTAACAGAAATAAACATGAAGAATAATCGTAGGTTTAACCTAAAATTTATAAAAACCCGGCGGGCGAATAGTCTCTCACCTCTCGCTTTTCTTTTGAAGCAGAGGGTAAAAGAGCACTTGGTATTTTGTATTTTTGAAAGTGCTGTACTCGCGAAGTATTTGTGGGTTCAAACTGAATTTTAAACAGGGCAAATCCAAGTGTTCAGGGCTCGTCATTTACTTTCATGGACCCCAGAGTAATCTGTGATGTCATTCCAGGTTACCCCCACTCCCTCCTTCGCCTGGGTGCCGGTGCCTTGGAGCAGACCCTTGAAGGCAGCTGGAGCTTGGTTCAGAAGGGTGGGCTCTGGGGTCAGGTTGCTCAGCATGCATCCTCGCCCCCTTTACTATTATTTTTTTATAGAGTTGGGCATTAAGGCTAAGATGAGAAGCGCCATTAATACCCACCCCTGAGAACTCTGTGCATTAGACAAGACCAAGTTGGTGTGATTTTAACGCTGTGCTTGACCATAGCAATGTTAACAATCGAGAGCTGTTCTTATTTCCGGACACCTTTGCTCTCCGTCCCTACCATATTCCCTCTGGACTCTGCTTTCTGGTGGCCAAGGTCATAGCTACCTAACCTTCCAAATGAAACACCTGCTGGGAGGAACCCAAGGGGAGTGGGGGCTTCTCCCCACCCTCTTTTGGGGGTTGCATGTACCCATGGCCACATAGATCACTGGTGACCAAGTCTGTATCTGCAATACCAACAATAGCTAGTGAATGCCGCGTGTCAGGCGCTGTTCTGGATTACCTGTATTCATACACTGTGTCCTCACACTGCCCTGGGAGGTAGATACTGTCACTATGCCCAGAATATACATGAGGCAACTGTAGTTGGGGGAGACATTAACCACCCCTGGTACATGGTCTCCTATTTCCACCCATCCCTCTGGGCTGACATGGCTGTGCCGCTCCCTTGCAATAACATCAAGAGGCAGATCCAGTCTTATCTCCCATTACTCTGCCCAATAAAAAGGCGGTTGCAGGCCTCTTAAAGAAGTCAAGCAGTTTTTTGCGTGTTAGAACATCATTGCCAGGGGCAGTGCTGTTACCTCTACTCTGTTATATTCTCTGCCAAGTGCAAGTGCCTATATGCACCTGAAGTACAGCAGCAAGAACATGACTTTGAAATAGGAAGCATAAGATTTTAATTCAGGTAATGTTGCATATCGGCTCTGTGCCCGCCCTTAGACTCAGTTTCTTTATCTGTGAAATGGGGACAAGGCTCTTTCTCATGGTGGCTGTGAGTATCAAGTAAAGAGGGACTTATGGTGACTGGCTTACAGCAAGCGCTCATTAAAGGGCTACAGTAATCATTTTTCTTGTATTGTTACACAGCTGCCTTATGCTGGCTCTTTAAAAAACCCATGAGGTTAAAAGCAACTTGGTCAAAAGCTATACATTTGTTTGCTCTTGTAGTCTTTGGGAAATAGGTGCTTTAGTGTTTTATATATGCTTTCAAAAATCACGTTTAACTCTTTGAGTTGCATCTTAGAGACAGGCCTTATGAGGGATATAAGATCTGCTCTTGAGAGGGGGAGTCAGCACCTCACCATTGGCCACACATCACAGGGACTGCTGCCTGGATGCTGAGCTGAAGAAGGCTTCTCTTGCCTCCAGCTTCCCTCCACTGCTCTGCCCCTGAAAGAGCCAGAGACATCACTACAAGTAGTGGAAGCGAAGGGAAGTTACTAAGAGAATTGCTACCAGAAGCCAACTGTGGCTGCCTCGCCCAACCTGGCCAGTCCTCTCCTAAGGCCTGAACTTGGAAGGGCAGGGCAGTGAAGCTAGAGAGAGAGGTCTAGCTAGTCCTTGGGGAGTGGGTGGGACAGAGGACTGAGTCAACCTGGCTCCTAGTTCTTTGCATAGTAGCATCATTATTTATGCAGAATCCCATTTCTGTTTTATTTATATACACATTTTATCCCTATCCCCCACTTTCATGCTTCCCCATAGAAGACCATTTTAATGGGCTCCATATGTATTTTTTGTTTGAATATGTCCTGGCAAACTTTGTAGTATTGTTTCTGCGAGCATGTATTTGCCGTTAGTGTAAATGGCTCTGTATTAAGTTGTTTTGTTTTGTGTTTGTCACTGTGCATTGTTTTGAAGATCTGCCCATGTCACTATGTGGTCTGTTGCTCCTCACTGCTGCCGCTGGAAGCAATGGGTCTGAACATTTTGCAACTAAAAATTGAGATGGTTTGTTAGTACCTAAGAGCGAGTCTGTGTGTTCATTTAAGGTGGAGGTGAACTTCTGTACAGAGCGTGTTCAAAGGTCCTTTATCGTTACACCCCATCAAGTCCGGGTCTTTGAACCAGCCAGCTACGAATGTGGTTGCTGTTCCATCCGTGCTGTGATGGGCAAGACTCTGCCTCCAACGGGTGAGGGGATGGATAACCTTAATAAACAAAGGGCATGTGGAATGAGGCTATTCTGGGAGCTCCAGAAAGTAAGGAATGGAGGTGGGTTCAGAGATGCAGAGAGAACTTCAACTGGAGACAATGGGAGAAAGAGGAGGGAGGATTGGAGTTGGGACTTGAAACCAAGGACAGGAAGAAACAGGGTGTTGACAGAGGGTGTGAACAACATAGTCGTAGGTGGGGAAGTGACAGGAGCAAAGGTAGAACATGCGAGTACAGCTGCCAGGTGGCGAGTAGACTCGTTCTCCCTTTCTCTCCTCCCTCCCTCCCTTTCTCCCTTCCTTCCATTTTTGTTTTCTTTATTTTTCTATTTTTTCCTCAAACAAAAGGTTAATTTATCTCACTAAGTGTTAATATTTGCTTCAAGTTGTTTGTATTCCAGAGTGATAATTACTCCCTAAAATAAAGATTCCTTGTTGTTCTCGAACATCAAGGTGAGGACTCGGAGGTGGGGTGTAACGTGAGCGAGCGTGTGTGTTCTTGTGTGTGGAAGGAGTGAGGTTCTGTGGCGTGTTGTTAAAGTGGCACTTTTTGTATTTTGTGTCTGTGCCTCAGATCCTCAAGGGTTCGTGTACCCTTTTATTCTGTGTGTTTTACAAAAATGAAAAAGAAACACCCCAGTTCCTTTAAGTTGCACTGTGGGCCACTTACGCTGTCACTGGTGTGAGGCTTGTCAGAGTGCACAAACCCAGTGAGGGGTTTGCTGTGTTTTTGCCTGTTTTCTTCAACCTGACTTAACGGCACTTCCCCAAGGTGTTTAAACTCCTTGATAGATAGTCAAGTGCTATGCTTTGTGTTAATGAACTCTAGACCCAAAATGCTCCTGTTTGTCATACTGATCTCGCCTTCTTCCTAAGAGTATTCCTTATGCATTAATTCTCACCTTAATTTGCCCTTGGTAAACCATCTGACATCCAGAGCCATGGCGCAGTGTCAGCTTAGATGGCCACATGTCATGGAGGCAGGTGACCTGGGTCAGTCGTTCAGGGAATTTGCTGCTGACCCTATTTGTATGATAGAAAGGATCTTGACACGTCTAGCCAACAGAACAATCTACAATCTGAGGTCCAAATGGGAGTGTGTGCGCCTTGCTGCAGACTCAGCGGGAGTCTCTGCGTTACTGTGTCTCCTTTTCTTCCAGAGCATTTCATCAAGGCCCTGCCGGAACACCACATCGTGGCGCCCGTCCGAGTCGATGCGAGTGGGCATTTTCTGTCCTACGGCTTGCACCAGCCCTTCCCCAGCGGCAGGAGGAAGAGGGCCGTGGATGGCCCAGAGGACCGGGTGTACTACAGAATTTTGCATGAGGAGAAGGACCTGTTTTTCAACTTGACCGTCAATCAGGGATTTCTTTCCAAGAGCTACATCGTGGAGAGACGGCACGGCAACCTCTCCCATGTTAAGATGGTGGCTTCTTCCGGGCCCCCCTGCCACCTCAGGGGCACAGTTCTGCAGCAAGGCACCAAAGTGGGGACTGCAGCCCTCAGTTCCTGCCATGGACTGGTGAGTGCCTGGCTCCATGCCCCCCTCCTCTGTCTGCAGCATCTTGACCTGCTCACCCATGGGTGCAGAGATACATCCAACACATGTGAATTGAGCACTTATGATGTACTTGCTTCTGGCCTCAAAATGGGTTAAGGGGAAAGTGCATGACATCAAAGTTGATCACCCTGGGAGGCGTGGGGAGTACGGGTGACACTGAAGTCACGGTGATTGCAGCCCGAAGCCCAGGGGAATGCCGCTGCTCTCAGCTGCTCCCAGGCTGCGGGGGGGGGGGGGGGGAGGTTTGAGTGGGGCCTTCTCTATTTCAAATGGGGGAGAATGGGGCCATCTCTGTTTCAAATGTGAGACTTCAGGGGGCAGTGAGGACCACCATGTGGGCATTTCAGATTCAGATTCCAGATTCCTACTAACTTTAGGAGCACAAAGAAGCAAATATTAACTAATGGAATTATGTGCCAGTGGCCAAGATGATGGAAAAATTTAGATTCAAATCACTAAATGATTTTTTTCCAGAAGAACCCATCTCCTGGGATTATTTTGGAGCTTTTCTCACATAATTGAACAATTAATAGATGGTTATTAAAAAAAGAAGTCACCAAAAGCCAAATGAGTTCCTTTTCTTTCTATGAGCACACAAGCTGGCTGGCTTCAAGTTCATTTGTTCATGTGCCACAATTCGCGGATGCTCACTGGGGGTGGTCCTAGTCAGAAGGGTAATGGTGGGACTGGTGTCTGCTTTTACCTGATCACTTGTCTTGGGTCGGACCTGATCTCCAGGATGTTTGTTTTGCCTTTCACCCAGGGGTGCCCTCCTACTCAGATTCCCAGGATGGCAGGCTTAGGAGATGCTGGTTCTCGGCCTCCTGCCCCTCAGAGGTCGGAGCTTGGCGGTGGCATCTGGGACGGCTTTCTGAGGAAGGAAACACTGTCCTGTGCAGCAGGACATCTGCTTCTCATTGCCATGGCTCAGGGCTGGCATATGTTTTGCTTCAGATGTGGTCATCCTAACAGTGGGGGCTGTGTTCTCTGGGATCTATTTCTCATTTGGAGTTTGTTTCGTGTCCCTTGGAGCAGCCTCAGATGATTGCAACCTGAAGCCCCAAGAAAGGTCACCCAGGGCAAGCTGTGGGATGACCACCTTCCTTCACTGGGCTCTGGTCCCCATGCGCCGGGGGCCGCTTCCGGACAGTGAGCCTCTGTCCCCAGCTTGGCTAACACCCCTTATGTCCATCTCAAGCATTTGCATTGCCCCTCCCCCTCAGCACTTTTATAACTTTGAAGTTATGGAATTTGTTCCTTTGGAACAGTGCAGCTGATTTGTTCCACTTTTGGTTCTTTGATGGAGAAACTGTGTTCTTTAATCGATTAGACTCAGAACTCGTCCTCACTGGGAACTGTGACCTGTGAGAGCCCCAGTGGGTGGCTTTGGATCTGCTGTTGCCAGGACCCCTGCAGGACTGACTCTGGGTTAGTTTGTTGTTAGTATTTCAGTTTAGAGTTTTGCACTGGAGGATAGTCTAAAATGTTAAGACTCCTCACTTGTGCATGCTGTAGCACTGAGGTTCAGGCTCATTATGGGGTACTCCTCTTCCACGGAGGGCTTGGTTTAGGTACCACCACCTAGGCTGTGCCTGAGTCAGTAAAGAAGTATTTTTAATTCCTGTTCACAGTGAGGAACAATCTTTCTCAGCTCATTCTTTATCAAAATAAAGACACTTCTTGGCTGTATCCCGAGCCCCAGCCTCAATTCCAGCCTTGCTGGGGATTCAGCCTGATCCCTTGGTCATGGCTCTCCAGGGACAGCCCCACAGCCTCAGCTCCCACTCACCTCTCCTTTCCATCCCCTTTTGGCACATTGACACCTCCTGGCTTGGGGCTCACCTGTGCATTACAGTTTGAAAGAAGTATTGTTTTAGTTTTCAGTTCAACTCTTTGAGATGTAAATTCACATTTAGGTGTCAGAGCTAAAACAGAGAGGCCCCATGTACCCTTTGCCCATCCCCCTCCACCTCCACCAATGGTAGCATTTTGCAAAATTACTCTATAATATCATAGGCAGGATTTTGACATTAATATAGTCAAGATGCCCAACATTTCCATCACAGTCCCTCATGTTGTCCTTTTGTAGTCACACCCACTTCTTCCTGCCCCACCCCCTCCTCATGACTGCATTTTATGTTTAAGTTCGTGATCCATTTTGAGTTAATTTTTGTATAAGATGTGAGACTTAGGTAGAGGTTCATTTCCTTGCTTCCTCCCTCCCTCCCTCCCCCCCCCCCCTCCTCCCTCCCTCCCTCCCTCCCTCCCTTGTTTTTGCCTGTGGATGTCCAATTGCTCCAGCACCATTTTTTTTTAAAAAGGCTGACTTCTATCCTCTGAATTGTTTCTGCACTTGTGCAGATCAGTCGGGCATAGTCTGGGGAGTCTATTTCTGAATGTTACGTTCCTTTCCACCAATAGAATATTCATCACTGTAGCTCTACAATTAGTCTTGAAATTAGGCAGACTGATTCCTCCCATTTTATTCTTCTTTTTCAAAAACTGTAAGTAATTCTTGTTTCTTTGCCTTTCCATATACATTTTAGAATAATGTGACTACCAAAATCGTAGTGGGGTTTTGACAGGAATTTCATTAAACCTATGTATTAACTTTTGCTGGGGAAGGTCAACATTCGCTGTATTTCATCTCCCAATCCATAGACACAGCTGGCCTCTTCCACTTCTGCCCAGGAGACCTGTGTAGGTTGGTTGACCGGTGGAACTGAAAGTCCGTGAAGCTTGGCCCTCTCTCCTCCCCAAGGTGATAATTATATGGACTCTTAAGGAAAAATTATAAATCCTGAGCTGAGGGCATTTCTCACAGGAAATTTCCCAGGGAGCAGGAGGACTACCGTGTGGGCATTTCAGATTCAGAGTTCAGATTCCTACTAACTTTAGGAGCACAGAGAAGCAAATATTAATTAATGGAATTATGTGTCAGTAGCCAAGACGATGGAAACATTTATATCCAAATCACTGAATGATTTTTCCAGAAGAACCCATCTCCTGGGATTATTTTGGAGCTTTTCACACATAATTGAACAATTAATAGATGGTTATTTAAAAAAGAAGGCACCAAAAGCCAAATGAGTTCCTTTGTTTTCTGTGAGCACACAAGCTGGCTGGCTTCAAGTGCATTTGTTCATGTGCCACAACTCGCGGATGCGCACTGAGGGTGGTCCTAATGGTGGGACTGGTGAATGTCAGCAGAACCAAGTGCTGGCACCAGGTGCGAAAGGGCCCTTTTTATGATCCCTTAACCCCAAGTGGAGCATCCTTTTGTAATTTGTCTGCCTAGAGGGGTGCCTTTTAAAACTCATCAGTCTGAAGGAGGCACCTTTTAGAATTTCACTTGTCTCTCCTGCATGCTTTCTTGCAATTCGCACAAATGTTTGCTATGACAGTTGTCACGGAGGCCCCCAGTTACAGGATCTGGCCTGGCTCTGTGGCCCCCAGATGACGGTTACATGGGAACGCACACATCCGTCACCAGCATGTGCCCCGAAGCCTAAGGTGTTCTGTTTTAAGTACCAGTGTGGAGGGGCGGGGTGTCTGTGGGCATTAGGAACAGGTCCCTTTCCACTGACCTGCAGCAAGACATGCAGTAGTTCCCTCTCCTGATCTCTCCTCTGGTTCAAAGTGAAGAACAAATTTGTGTCTATTTCCTGAAACCATTGGGTCTTCGCTTCTGATCTCCAGCGCACACCCCCTTGAGCTGCACGTGAAGGAAGAGGCCTTCTGCAGAGGACAAGTGCACAGAGGCTCAGATCCTGTAAATGCGTGCAGAGGAGAAACACCTCTCCCATCCCGACACCCAAATTTGCACTGAAACGTCTCTGCTGAAATGTAGGTCCAGTAGCCACATTGGATGGCAACCCCTGCTTCCTCGGGCAGCCATTTTTACACCAAACCGAAGATTTAAATTTTAGTCACCAAAACAAATGGAAGATATGCTCCAAAGAGAACTTGAATCTTCCTTCTCTTACGGTGCAGGACACTATGAACCTTTAGAATAGCTTTCCAGCTTTTAACCAGCAAGGTATCAGTTTTTGCTGGGATATGCTGTTACAATAATTTTAACTCTTTAGATTGTGTGAGGTTCTAATTTTGGGAAATGCAAGAATTAAGCATTCATTGCATTTTGCAGTGTGAATGTTACACATGAGATTAGTGTCATTTATTTATTTATTTTTTGCTTTCTCTTATATCCAACATGTATTCAGAATTTATGCACGGAAAAATATCTGTCATGTCTACAAAGTGCCCAGGTGTTTACAACATTTAATAAATAAAAACATTTGCAGAACTTTAGGCCCTTGAGTAGGACGTAAAATTCAGGCAAGTTTCCAACCAGGAGCAGAAGAACTTCTTTATAAGTAAACCACTCATTTTGAAAATAAGTCAGATACATGCTATTCATGAATTTTATTTTATTTTATTATTTTTTAATCACCATTTTTCTTTATTATAAGCTGGCATGAATGATAAATATGTTAAGGGTATTAAAATGTTTGGAGGCCCCATGAAAGTATTATGATCAGTGACATAAGATTATTTTTCTGATAATTGCTACTTCCCTCTTGACTTTACTAAGACTAGACTAGAGACTGAGTTTTGACATTTAACTCAGTAAATGAAGATTCAAGCATAAGTTCTCAAACTAGAATTTGGCCATTTCACCATGCTTAGCAAGAGTTTCAAAGAGAAAGATAATTGGGATTTTTAATGAATTTTGAATCTTCCCTGAAAGGTGGAATAAAAGCTCTGAAAGGTACGGTGTGAAGCAGTATGAGTTAATTTTAGACAGCTTGTTCAGAATACATCCTGGTGGTAATAACTTCCTTCTCTACTGCGATTACCCACCAAATTAACTTCATTAACTTTTCTCCTGATCTCCTTTGAGGAAATACTCCAAGGTCAGCTGTCATCTGATCAGAATTTCCATAAGATAACTGGCTGGT